TTGTTGTTAATCCTCACCGAGGATATTTTTCCATTGATTTTTAGAGAGAGTGAAAGAGAGGGGGAGAGATGGAGAGAGAAACATCAATGTGAGAGAGATACATTGGTTGGTTGCCTCCCGCAGGCACGTGCCTGATCAGGGGGCTGCAACCGAGGTACGTGCCCTTAACCGGAATCAAACCCGGGACCCTTCGCATTATGTTCAATTTTGTAACAATGAAATTGGGGGTCACCACAACATGAGGAACTGCATTAAAGAGTCGTGGCATTAGGAAGGTTGAGAATACAGTCTAAAGGGATATTTATTTTATTTTTTTAATATATTTTTATTGATTCTAGAGAGGAAGGAAGAGGGAAAGAGAGATAGAAACATCAACAATGAGGGAATCATTGATCGGCTGCCTCCTGCACGCCCCCTACTGGGGATTGAGCCCACAACCCAGGCATGTGCCCTTGGCTGGAGTCGAACCTGGGACCCTTCAGTCCATAGGCCGACGATCTATCCGCTGAGCCAAACCAGCTAGGGCTAAAGGGATATTTATTCAATGGAAAAAATATCCTTCGGTGAGGAACTATAAATAGCCACCCCAGCAGTAAAAGGAGAGGGAAAAATCACCTCCTTCATTCCAGATGGCATCCTTCTATTAATGCAGGCTGGGATCAATCACTGCTTCACACTGAAGAGTCACATCAGATCTGCAGGGGGATGTTTTTTCCCATCCAATGCTGCTTGGCTTTGTCTCCCTCCTCCCTTCCATGTCAGGGATGCAGACATTAGATAGTTTTCCCTCTCCACATCTGTCCCAAGCACAGTGAGGCTTTCAGGGGCGTGGAGATGAGCAAGACGAGGCCTGGGACCCCCTCCACCTTTGTTGATTGGTCATGCCTTGCCTTCCAGAGTCAAAATGATTCAAGGGAGACAGCTGAGACCGGAAGCAAGTTTTTCTCCTAGCATGGATGGCCCAAACCAGGGCTAGATTAATACTTTGGGGGCCAAAACAAGCCCAATTGTCTCTTGACACAGTTGGAGTGTTTCCACTGGGTGGACAAATAGGCATGTGATTTACTAGAAAGCAGAAATGTTGCCTATCATGTGTGTGTACATGTAAGTATCAACAACACAACCGGCCCACTGCCCAAGAGCAGCCCTGCAATGCGCTCAGGCCACAGGGCTGCCAGACACTGTGAAGTTTCCAGAACCTTGGCTCTCAAATCAGAGAACGTTTGCATGTGACCCTCAAATTCTGGTACAATCTGACCATTTCACAGACGAGAATACTGAGGTGAACCGCGTCCAGCACGGCCAGGGGTGAACCTGAGGAGGGGCGGTGAAGGATTAAAGACGACAGACAAGAGAATACAGTTGGGACCAGGTGGATCACTGCCTGGATGAGGAAACAGTGACCCAGCCTGTAAGCCCAAGCTTTATTTTGTAGTCAGGTCACACAAAGCAAAGCAAGGGGAGTGGTCCACATGTTCACAATGTTATTTCGAGTTTCAAATCTATTTTGCTCCTCAAGCCTTATTTTGGCAGCACTTGCTGCACCTCCCACAGCCCATTAGCTACCTAGGAAGGAACTAGGGAGGACTACAAGATCAAGCTTCATTATTCCAGGAGGGCTCTGCCCTCCAAGCTGGGACTTGTTTGTGGCCCTGCCACAGGTCAGTCCGAGGCTTGCCTCTATAGCCGCTCCTTACACTGAGGCTTAGAGGGGCCCTGGCATATATCTGGCCCCAGGTCATCCATCAGAGTGACCGTTAGAATTTAGTCCCTCTGACAGGCCAACTCTCCCTCCCTGCTTGGTTTTTGTTGTTGTTGTTAATCCTCACCGAGGATATTTTTCCATTGATTTTTAGAGAGAGTGAAAGAGAGGGGGAGAGATGAGAGAGAAACATCAATGTGAGAGAGATACATTGGTTGGTTGCCTCCTGCACATGCCCCGATCAGGGGGCTGCAACCGAGGTACAAGCCCTTAACCGGAATCAAACCTGGGACCCTTCACTCTGCAGGTCAGTGCTCTATCCACTGACTAGGGCCCTGCTTGGTATTTTCATTTGAGTTAGCACACAGGTGCCAGAGAGTTGGAAAATGTCTTTACTTTCATTTTGTAATCAGCCCTAAACAAGGTGAAGGCTGGGAAAGGAGGAGCCATCGAGGCGATGACCCCCAATACTTTACTTGACAAATATTTATGACGCGGACCCTGCGCCCAGGGCTGGAGACACATGGCAGGGGCAATGAATGCTCTTGGAGTTATCAACGGCAGCCTGGGTTAGGGAAGGACACCGATACGCCCGCATGTATTACAGACATGGGAAGTTCCAGGGGGAAAAAGGACAGGGTGTCTTCCAGCACGTAGCACGGGCACCCTGCTGGAGCATGGGGCTCGGGACGGCTCCCAGAGGAAGTGAGGTTTGAGCTGAGCTGTGAAGACATCTCCATAGGATCTGACGGTAAACACTGCCAGGACAGCCTGTTCTCTGCCGCCTCCTCACTGCACGCCCCGCCGCAGCCGCCAGCAGCCCCTCGGCCTGCCAGGGACCTTCCAGAAACCCGTTTCCCAACTCTGACGACACATTCTGGGCATTGGGAGGTTGATGATCCAGAGAGGAATCCGGGCCACCTGGCCTCTCTTCCTCTCAGCATCCCCTGGGGAAGAAAGTTCTTGTGGGGTTTTTCCCTTCCACGTGTTCCAGAACGCGCCAGCTTGCCAGCCAACTGCCTCCTCTGCTCCTCCCTCCCCTGCCTGGCAAGGCCTCACCCTCCTCGCGTCCCTGACCCACTTCCTCCCAGGCTACACTGGTCTCCTCCTCTCTGCTCCCCCGGCCCCAGAGGGTGCCTTCCATCCCAGCCATGACCCTGCTGTCACTTTTCCCTGGGCCCCGCGGTGACACTGCCCCCCTGCCCATGAGTGTCCGGAGCACAAGGCTTGTGGCTTCTTGGCTTCTATTCTCCCCTGTGGCTGGGTGATGTCTACCCTTAGAAAGCCTTCAGCATCGGCTGGGCTCTCTGATTTGAATCACCAGGTTCTGCACTCCCTAGCTCTGTGACCCTGGGCAAGTTACTTAACCTCCATTTCCTCCTCTTTATTTATTTTTTAAAATATATTTTTATTGATTTCAGGGAGGAAGGGAGAGGGAGAGAGAGATAGAAACATCAATGATGGCCCTAGCTGGTCTGGCTCAGTGGGTAGAACGTCGGCCTGCGGACTGAAGGGTCCTGGGTTCGATTCCAGTCAAGGGTACATGGCCGGGTTGCAGGCTGGATCCCCATTAGGGGGTGTGCAGAAGTAGCTGATCATTGATACTTCCATCTCTCTTCCTCTCTGAAATCAATACGAAATTTTTTTTTTTTTAAAAGGAAAGAAATATCAATGATGAGAGAGAATCATTGATTGGCTGCCTCCTGAACACCCCACACTGGGGATGGAGCCTGCAACCCAGGCATGTGCCCTGAAGGGGAATCTAACCATGACCTCCTGGTTTATAGGTCAATGCTCAACCACTGAGCCACGCCAGGCGGGGCGATTTCCTCTTCTTTAAAATAGGAATGACAGATGGTCCCTACCTCCCAGTGTTGGTGAAAGGAGAGCTCCCACAGAACTGGAAGACTACCCTTCCTACTGCTTGCCAAAGCACTGCATATATAACGGGTAAGATATGTCAATAACCGTCCCACGGGTTTCATATGATGCTACACAGTGATTAAGCCTTGACACATACAAAGAATTTTTTGGTAATCTGTTCTCACTTCCAACGGATTATTTCTCCGAGCAGGATCCCCAGAATCCGCTTTCAGGCTCTCTAACCACTAGGGTTCAAGTACCGGGCACACGGGGTGTGGGGAGCGAGCTGCGCCGAGGTCACAGCGGGAGTTCAGAGCCGGGTGCTCGGCGCACGTCCCAAACGCCTAGTCACAGCTCTGCACCCGGCACCCCCCACCCCCCCG